ACAAGTGAGAAGCTTTTTATTATTATTATTTCAGTCTTCTTCAGACTTGAAGAGGACTTCCAAATCATCATGTCATAAAACTAAAAATGGAAAAGCGAGAGGACAGCAAGCAACCATTTAGCAATCCCAGGGTGCATCTACACCAGGCATGGGCAAACTTGGGCCCTCCAGGTGTTTTGGACGTCAACTCCCACAATTCCTGACAGCTGGTTGAAGTCCAAAACACCTGGAGGGCCCAAGTTTGCCCATGCCTGATCTTCTTTCCCTGTTGGTCATTGACACCCACAGCTCCTCTCAGTCAACTCAAGGATACCATCCATCCATCTTGCCCTTGATCTGCCCCTCTTCCTTTTTCCTTCCATTTTCCCCAGCATCATTGCCTTCTCCAAGCTTTCCTGTTGTCTCATTATGTGGCCAAAGTATTTCTTCTTTGCCTCTAATATCCTTCCCTCCAGTGAGAAGTCGGGCTTTATTTCCTGGAGGATGGACTGGTTTGATCTTCTTGAGGTCTGAGCCACTTTCAGAATTTTCCTCTAACATCACAGGTTCTATCTTTCTTCGCTTAGCCTTCCTTATGGTCCAGCCATGACCGTCCCGTCTTGGGTGTCCTTTCACAGGAATTATATGGTCAGTGTTTGTTGCTGTGTATTCATTCAGTCGCTTCCGACTCTTTGTGACCTCATGGACCAGCCCACGTCAGAGCTCCCTGTCAGACATGGTCACCCAGCTCCTTCAGAGTCAAGCCAGTCACTTCAAGGATGCCATCCATCCATCTTGCCCTTGGTCGGCCCCTCTTCCTTTTTCGTTCCATTTTCCCCAGCATCATTATCTTCTCCAAGATTTCCTGTCTTCTCATTTTGTGCCCAAAGTATTTATTTATTTATTTTTATTTTTTTACAGCTTTTATATTCCGCGCTTCTCACCCCGCAGGGGACTTAGGACGGATTACAGTGTACACATATATGGTAAACATTCAATGCCAATTTTGACATACAACATATACAGACATACACAGAGGCTATTTAACTTTTTCTGGTCGCCAGGGGAGCTGTCGCTTTCATCGTCCATCTGCGACACTGATGAAGTACTTCCACATGCCCCGCATGCTTTTTTGCTGGAGTGCTTGCTGGAGTTTTTTTATGGCCTCAAAAATTAGTTAATTTAGCCTCCCCACACTTTAAGGTGGTACCTAATTTTCCTACTTGACAGATGCAACTATCTTTCGGGTTGCAAAGGTCGACAACTGAGAATTTTCCTCCAGAACCACAGTTCAAAAGGGTCTATCTTTCTTTGCTCAGCCTTCCTTATGGTCCAGCTCTCACATCTACAGGGAATACGATTGCTTTAACTGTGCTGATCTTCGTTGCCAGTGTGATGTCTCTACTCTTCACTATTTTATCAAGATTGGTCATTGCTCTCCTCCTCCGAAGTAAACATCTTCGGATTTCCCAGCTGCAGTCTGCGCCTGCAGTAATCTTTGCGCCTAGAAATACAAGAAGTCTGTAATTGCCTCCATGTTTTCTTTATTTGCCAGTTATCAATCACACAGCTGAATAAAATCCCACATTATCTGCTTTGAACTCGAATAGATGGCAGTGTAGACTCAGATAACCCAGTTCAAAGCACATATTGTGGGATTTTCTGCCTTGTTATTCTGGGTTTTTTGACTGTGTGGAAGGGCCCTCAGTTTGGTTGCCATAATCTTGAGGTCTTTTAAATGTTTAACTGCAACCCTGATCTAGACTGTTGAATTAATGTAGTTTGACACCACTAAAACCTGATGCTACAGAATCATGGGAGTTATAGTTTTATGCCAGAACCAGACCTCAGTGGATACTAAGAGCTTACTTATGCAATGTGGATATACGGGATAAAGGGATGATTCACGTCCCAGGAAGGTCAATGCAAGATTTCATCATGCAACACCAATTTTACACTTACGAATTGTTTACTCTTGGAATTTTCCATTTCATATTTTCTAACAACAAGGAACTGAAACAGTGGAAAGCAAAACATCAGATAAGGGGGGCAGGCGTTACGGTATTCCATGAGTTGTTATTGTGCATTAGACTTTCAAAAGACAGCACACAGACAGTCCCCAAGTTACAAACAAGATAGGTTGTGTAGGTTAGTTCTTAATTTGGATTTGTATGTAAGTTGGAACAGGCACATTTTTATGCATTTACTCCATATGGAAGAAAGTACTTTCAGGCTATGTGTATACTAATAAAACATGCATCAAGAAAATGATTTTCGTGTTTAAACTTGGGTCCCCTCTCCAAATTAATTCATTTATGTGTATGGAAGTATACAGTAATAATTGCATCAAACTATAACTCTCTGGATTCCATAGCACTGAGCCATGGCAGCTAAAGTGGTATTAAACTGCATCAGCTCTACAATGCAGAAGCACCTTGTGTTCTTGTTATGTTTAGTGCATAAATGCTGTAAACATCTCCTGCCTTTCCCACTGGTGCCTCATCAAACTGTAACTCTCTGGATTGAGTTAGTTTGATGAGGCCTTGATGGAATACTTCCTTCTTCTTCTGCGCGCTCCTGGAAGGTTTTTATGGTGTCATAAATTAGTTTCCCCACATAAAGCGGTATCTAAATTTTCTTCTTGACAGATGCAGCTGTCTTTCAGGCTCCATAGGTCAACAGCAAGCTAGACTATTAATAGTCAGGAGCTTACTAGAACCAGGGCTGGCTTGGAACTCATGACCTCTTGGTCAATAGTGATTTAATTGCGTTATTGTATGTTGTTAATGTTATTGCTTTGTTTTTTGAGTTATTTTGCTGTTGTTATTGTTTTTACTATTGTATTTGGGCTCAGCCTCTTGTAAGCCGCACCAAGTCCTTCAGGAGATGGTAGCGGGGTACAAATAAAGGTTTATTATTATTAATATTAATATTAATAATGCAGCTGGCTACTAACTAGCTGCACCACAGCCCGGTCTTCATCAAACTATAACTCTCTGGATTCCATAGCACTGAGTCATAGCAGCTAAAGTGGTATCACTAACTGCAGTTTCTGAGCCATCTTCAAAGGCAGTCCCACGTAGAGTGCATTGCAGTAGTCCATTCTGGGTGTCACTAAGGCGTGGAACACTGTGGCCAAGTAAAGCTTCTCAAGATATGGTTGCAACTGGAGCGACATGCAGGGAGCATACCACCCCCGCCCCTGCTGTTTGCTCCACTTCCGAGCACAATTCAAGGTGCTGGTCTTGACCTATAGAGCCCTGTACGGTTCCGGCCCAGCTTACCTGTCCAAACCTATCTCCTTCTACGCCCCGCCTTGCAGTTTAAGACATTCAGGGAGGCCCTCCTCTTGGTCCCACCAGCCTCGCATGTGTGCTTGGCAGGGACGAGGGACAGGGCCTTCTCACTGGTGGCCCCACACCTGTAGAACTCACTCCTCAGCCACATCAGGACAGTGTCTTTCCTCCTTTTAATTTAGGAAGAAGGTTAAATCATGGTTCTGGGACCAGGCCTTTGGACAGCTAGCATGACTGGATGTTGAATCGGACTGGAATTGGCTTAATGTTCTATTTACTGTTTTAAACTGTTGTTATATTTGTTTATATTTGTATTAGCTTGTGGCACTGCTGGTGTAAGCCAACCTGAGTCCCCCCTCAGGGGTTGAGAAAGACAGGTTAGAAATGTGGGAAATAAAATAAATAAATAAAATTGATACTATGTATTGTCAAAGGCTTTCATGGCTGGAATCACTAGGCTCTTGTGGGTTTTTTCGGGCTATAGGGCCATGTTCTAGAGGCATTTTTTCCTGACATTTTGCCTGCATCTATGGCAAGCATCCTCAGAGGTAGTGAGGTCTGTGGGAATTAGGAAAATGGGTTTACATATCTGTGGAATGACTGGGGTGAGGCAAAGAGCTCTTCTCTGCTGGAGCTGGGTGTGAATGTTTCAACTGACCACCTTCATTAGCATTTGAAGGCCTGGCTGAGCCTGGGGGAATCTTTCATTGAGATGTGTTAAGATGTGCCTGGTTGTTTCGCTGTTGTAATTTTAGAGTTTTTTTAATACTAGTATCCAGATTTTGTTCATTTTCATGGTCTCCTCCTTTCTGTTGAAATTGCCGATCCTACAATGTAGATGCACCCTGTGTTCTTGTTATTTCCTGGACTTGCAATAATGCTGTAAACATGCAACAAACTATTAAGATTGCAATGTACGCAAGCTAACAAATTGCAATGTACACAAGCTAACAAAATGTTCCAATTAAAAATTAAGTTAAGGTTAAAAATATAGAGGAAGTATTGGTTTGAAAAAAAAGATCCAATTGCTAAAAACTCTCTTTTTGCAATATTTGGTGAGTGTTGTTATTTCCTAGACTTGCAACAATGCTGTAAACATGCAACAAACTATTAAAATTGCAATGTACACAAGCTAACAAAATGTTCCAATTAAAAATTAAATTAATGTAGAGGAAATATGGGTTTAAAAAATGCTTTTTTAAAGAACCAATTGCTAAGAACTGTCTTTGCAATATTTGGTGAGTGTTGTTGCTGCCTCTGTGCGGCTGAGCAGCGCCCTCTCCGTCCAGCTGCGGTACTGCACCTTCCCTTCCCCCGCTAGCAACGGCAAACAACAAGCCAAGCAAACCCTTCTCTCACCCGCCCCTTTCTCACTCTCTAAAACAAGCTCCTCGGTCTTATATACCCTGCTAAAAATAGCCTCCTCCGCAGCCGGCCAATCAGGAGGGTCCGAATTTCGAATCGGCCCAATCGTCGCAGGCGTCACGGAGGGGTTCGGTCACGCCAGGAGGAGCCGAGATGCGTCGCGGACGGCGATTGGGCGACTCTGACATCATTGGAACGCAGGGGGAGGGCGGGGATTGGTCGGCGTTGGCAAAACGGCGTAATGGGATCACGAGGTGGCGGCGGGAGGGAGGGGGGAAAGAGTGAGGAGTAAAAAAAGGGGGCGGGGCGAGTGGGACTGAGCAGAAGGGCGGGGGCGAAAAAAGGGGCGGGGGGAGGAGCAGGAGGAGGTTGTGGCCAAAGCCAGGTTTGAATAGGGAAGTTTTGCAGGAGGTTCCATTCGCAGTCATCATCGCAGTGTTTGCAAATATTGAGCAGGCTTCCGAGGAAGGATCTTCTGGAAAGGAAAAGGAAAAAAACAACAACCCAGGAGTGGAAGAAAAAAAAATTATTTTTTACAGACCCAGCATCAAGCAAGCAAGCACCATTTAGGAAGGACTTTGCAAAAATCTTCTATATTTCTGTGCAATTAAACTTTGCATGAAACTTTGCTTTTTCAATGCTTATATTTTTGTGGGGGGAGAAATCTAAAATACCCAACAGGATTTATTCTGCATTGGTGACAGATTTGGGATTTTTTTGATGCCTATATTCTGATTTTTTTAATTTTATTTTTTTGCAATTTTTGTGTCTTGTTGGTGGTCTTAATTTTTTAAAAATCCTGGAGAAGGAAGAGGAGGAAGTGGGACTTTGTAAATAGCTTGGTCGCCTTTCCTGTCATCCGATTTACAGCAGCAGCAGCAATAGCATCTTAAAAGGCATCCCCTACCATTGGTTTCTATGCCTCTTCTTCTCCTCTTTGCGATTTTCCAAAAAGACCTGGAGAGTGGACACTGAGATCTATATATTGGTGGAAAGGTTTGACTTTCTCTTCCTCTTTGACACACACAAAAAAAGGAAAAAAATATATTACCATTCAGAGACATGGATGTGCTCCCAATGTGTAGCATCTTTCAGGAACTCCAAATTGTGCATGACACTGGTTACTTCTCTGCTTTGCCATCTCTGGAGGAATATTGGCAACAGGTAAAAAAGGGGGGTGAAAAACTAAGAATGTGTATTATTGTTATTATTATATGCATTGCATGCTCAGATGTATTTAATTCAAAAAATAATAATGCAGATTTAGAGACTTTGCTTTTAGGAAGATTTTAAAATTTAATACTATTTTTAATTTGGCAGGTGTGTTGTGTTATTCTAGAACATGTAACATTTAAAATATATATGTTCTGAAACATGTCACGTTTGTGTGTGTGTGTGTATATATATATTCTGAAACATGTCACATGGTGTGTGTGTGTGTATTGCAAAACTCAAAATATTTTAAAGGGATAGATATACTGTCAAAAATACTTTAAAGACCAAATAAATAAATTAGAAATATTGCATATATATATATATATATATATATATATATATATACACACACACACATACATACACACACACACACACACACGGCACATGGTGTGTGTGTGTGTATGTATATATATATCAAAACTCAAAATATTTTAAAAGGATAGATATACTGTCAAAAATCCACAATACTTTAAAAACCAAATAAATAAATTAAAAATATTGCATATAAATATATATACACACACAGAGAGAAACATGTCACATGGTGTGTATGTGTGTGTGTGTGTGTGTATTGCAAAACTCAAAATATTTTAAAGGGATAAATACTGTCAAAAATCCACAATACTTTAAAGACCAAATAAATTAAAAAATATTGCATATATATATATATATATATATATATATATATACACATACATACACAGAAACATGTCACATGGTTTGTATGTGTGTGTATCTTGCAAAACTCAGATATTTTAAAGAGATAGATATATTGTAAAAAGAATCCACAACACTTTAAAGACTATAGATAAATAAATAAGGTATATTGCACACACACACACACACATATATATATATATATATATATATATATACACATGTCACAAGGTGTGTATGTATATATATTGCAAAACTCAAAATACATTAAAAGGATAGATATATTGTCAAAAATCCACAATACTTTAAAGACTATGGATAAATAAATCTATCTATCTATATATATAGTGTGTGTGCTGAAACATGTCACATGATATATATAGAGAGAGCAAAACTCAGATATTTTAAAGGGACAGATATATTGTTTATTTATTTCGTATCAAAAGCATTGCGTAAATATTGTAAAAAAAACTGCAATACTTTAAAGACTATAGATAAATAAATTACATATATTGCAAGAAATATACTTTAAAGAATATAAATATATCCTTGCAATATGCATGTGTGTGTATCTCCTTGCAATATATATTCCTTTAAAGGACTGGAATTTTTTTTGCAATATATATATAGAGAGAGTGTGTATTGGGGATTTTTTGCAATCTCCCTGCATTGCTATTCTGAACAGCGCTGTCAGCTCTGCATGTTTTTGAAAGCCTCTCCACTCTCTTGCTGCCTTTCCCCCCACTTTCTCATCCAAGCAGGAACCTCTCCACTAAAATCTGTCCATATCCTAGTAAATTAGTATTTAAAATTTATATCTAATTCTCTATTTCTGTCCCCCCCCCCAAAAAAAAAATCCCTTCCTTTGCTGGGAAGCAATACCATTGGGGGAGTTTATGTATTCCCCCCCCCCCAAAGAGTTGGGTTGGTTTTTTTTGTTAGGTTACCCCTTTAAGAAAAATAAAATAGAAAAAAACTTAATTCAGCTGAGTACTATTTTTTGAATGCCTGCTTCCCTCCTCCCCAATTGTCAGTCATATGACAGCCATCCTGTTTTCTCCTCCATTGCTTTGAGTCTAAGTGGAGGAAGACTTCCCTTTAATGGACATGGGTTTTTTTTTAAAGGAGGGGGGCAGTTAATTGGATTTCTTGCAAAACAAGATTAGGATAATTTTGTTGTTTTTTTGCATTGTCTGGGATTTTTTTAATCCTCTGTTTATTTTTATTTTACCATGGGGAGGGGGAGGGGAGGATGTTTACTTCCCCAGATCAGATTATAATTGGGGGGAGGGGGGGGGGTGTTAATTTGTTTGCATTGCAAATCCCTAGCTGTCAGTCCAAAGTGTTGCAACCTTGTCCATGTTTTCCCAGTCCTTTTTCTCCCCCATTTTACACTCTGTATTTTTCCCCACCCCATTTCTTTCCAAGGCAACACTGATGGTACGTGATTGAAATTGATCTAAGTAGTTTTCTCCAGGCATCTTTGGGATTTTTTTCCTTTTTTCCCCCCATTTCCCCCCTAAAGCAATTTAACTGCACCCCCCCCCCCCAATTTCCCAGCTTCAAGCTCATTTTCAAACCTGATTTGCATAATGGAGGAATTTTAAAGCAGCCTTGAATATGAAAGTTTAACCAGCTCTTACTATAAATTCCCTTCCTGTTTCCTTCTCCAATTGCTACATTGCATAGCCTCTTAGGAAGGGTTATTTTTTTAAAAGTGCTGTGCAAATCAGTTGCCTAATTATAGGGAAAGCTATAAATATTGATTAAGGCATGCTGAGGTTTTTTTTTTCCACTTCTGTTTTTCCTACTTCTGTTTATATCCCGAAATCAGCAGTCCAGTCCTGCAAAGAAAATCTCCATGTATTCATTGGGATTTATTACCACCAAGAAGCCAATGTGCATATGAGTGCGTTTACATAGCAAAATAAAAGTATTGTGACACACTTTACCTGCAAAGGCTCAATGCTATGGGATCCTGGGATCTGTAGTTTGGTGAAGTACCAGCACCCTTTGGAAGAGAAGGCTAAAGACCTTGTCAAACTACAGCTCCCATTACTCCAAGCATTGAGCCATGGCAGTGAAAGTGGTTCCAAACTGCATTAATTCTGCAGTGTAGTTGCACCCAGGATTGGAGTGTGCTTGAGCTGGGTCTACCTATGTATACAAAATCACAATTGCAGTGGCAGTCGTCTTGAGCTGACACTTTGGTGGAGTTAGGAGGGCTTGGGCATTTCCTAATATTGACAAATGGCTCTTCCTTAAAATAATACAACGAATGCTTTTGGCATGTGGTAGGAATTTTTCTCATAAGGCTAGAGACCCTACATCTTAGCCTATCAAAACTTTGCAATTTTTATAGTCAAGAGAATTTAAGTATGGAACCTTCTGCTGCCCAAAAGTGACATTTGCTTTGCTTCCAAAGCTTGTTGTTTTGTGTGCCTGCGGAAGGGCTATTTTGTGTCACTCAAAGCCTTGTTTGTCTCATTTCAGAGAAGAAGAGTAGGGTGGTTTTTTTTCCCCCTTTTTGTATGTTCTCTCGCATGTATATTTGAACTGTGTATTTTCTTGGCAGAGAGTCAGGGTTTTAGAAAGGAAGTCTCCTTTGGCATTCGGTGAAAGAAATAGGGAGATGACTCATACAGTTGTGCTCTGGGCCAGTAGATAAAAGTTCTTGGGTTCTTGGTGGCGCTCCCAGCAGGACATTAAAAGTTGTATTTCCCTGTCCCTGCTCTTTCTTTTCGTTCCTACTCTCCTTTCTGTTTCTTTCCCCCCTTTCTTTTACCTCCTCAGTTGCCCACATTATAATTCTGAATGCTTCATTTCTGGAATTCTTGAGGTCACTACACCAGAAGTGCCTTGTGTTATGTGAGGCGCATGCCAACATGCTTGGAAGAGGCATTCTTTGCATGTCAGCCCTGGGCTGCATTCTCATGCGCAGGAAATGGGTTGGCTTTGTGGATGTCCCTTGAATATAGATAATCAGCCACTGCAGCCACAACATGTCTCTTGAGTTTAGAGCCCAAGTAGTATTCATCGCCCCCAATATTCCTCTGGTTGGTGGAAACCCATGTCGGCCATTCTCTGCCAACACAACAAAAATAATTTTGGTTAGTGAAATGTTGGCCTAAGTGAAACGGGAGGGAGGATGAAGTAAGAAGAGTGTGACTTTAGCGCTAGCTCCTTGAACATCTCCTTTCTAGGAGATGACAACTGAGTTAACGTGTTAAGAGGAATAGCTGGAGGACGTTGGTGGGTTTGAGTTGCTGCCCAGTTCTTGGAAATTGCATTGTTTACTGTAATAGTCATCAGAGGAAAGTTGAGCGGCCTACAACATTAAAGGAACCTAGCAACTAGAAATAAACAGTCTTTTCTTTGACGAGTATGTGGTCTGGTTAAATTTCCATAGTGTGTTATCATACAAGGTTCTTTTTATTTTCATTTTTTTTTACTACAACCCTACAAAACCCAACAACAATGATGCTTTTATTTTGTAGACATGCTTAGAGCTGGAACGCTATCTCCAGAGCGAGCCCTGCTACGTGTCTGCCTCTGAGATCAAATTTGACAGTCAGGAGGATCTGTGGACCAAAATTATTCTGGCACGTGAGAAAAAGGAGGAATCGGAACAAAAAACTGTATGCGTTCCAAAGGAGGACAGCGCAAGTAGCCAGAGTTTAGAGACTAACAGTTTGAATTCTGATATCAGCAGCGAATCTTCGGACAGCTCTGAGGAACTTTCTCCTACGACTAAGTTTACCTCTGATCCCATAAGTGATGTTTTGGGTATGGCCAATACAGGAAACCTGAGCTCATCCGTCACATCTACTCCTCCTTCTTCCCCTGAACTGGGCAAGGAGCCATCTTCCCAACCGTGGAATAGTGCACCCAGTGACTTGCATTCACCAGGCAAAATTCGTGCTAGTACTGGTGGAAAGACTGCAGAAAAAGGCTCCTCGGCCAATGGTGACGCGTCTCCAGATGGGAGGAGGCGGGTTCACAGGTGTCAGTTCAATGGGTGCCGAAAGGTTTACACCAAAAGTTCACATCTGAAAGCACATCAGCGTACCCATACAGGTGAGTACCCTTGTGGTCCACTGGAGTTGATCAAGATGTCATGTCTGGGACACCTTGTGGTATCATTAACCCCCAATAAGCAAAGCATGGAATATATATAAAGTCCAAAATTAGAACTGATAGCCCTAACTAGAGTATAGCCATTGAATCAGAAACTTGATGTTCCCCACTGAGTCAATGAGTCTGCTCAAGTTTAAACTTGCAGTTGGATTTAGGTTGAAATTAAGAGTGCCTCCTTGTTCATGTGTCAATTCTGGAGTTACTTTATCCCATACTGATTCATCACCTGGAGGTATATAATACAAAAGCAAGTATGGAGTTATCTAAGGGTGAGAATCATGACTGTCTAGTGGTTGAACTGCAAGTCCCAACAAACTGTCTTAACAAGTATAGCTATAGCCAATGGTAAGCAACGTTCAACAACATCTGGAGGGCTACATGATTCTGACCCTTGATCTAATCAGTAATTGGATATAGGAGATGATCTGACCACTTTATATGTATTTCTATCAAAGCTCATTGGCTTCCATCATGAAATAAAAGTAGAATCTGAACATAATAAGGGAACTCCTTTGCTGCATATTCCTGTTGCTTGGCAGTCCATTGCCTCTTACTCTGTCGTTTTCCCAACTGGGACTCTAAAATGCTATGTTTTAGTGGTGGTTGCCATTCAATCTTGGTTCCTTCTGGACTTTTCACTTATTACAGGTGTTGGATGGAACAGTGGTTCTCAACCTTTGGGTCCCCAGATGTTCTAGCCTTCAACTCCCAGAAATCCTAACAGCTGGTAAACTGGTTGGGATTTCTGGGAGTTGTAGGCCAAAACACCACAGGTTGAGAACCACTGCTTTAATGCCATCCTCTCCCTTAACTAGCATCCTCATTCTGTTCATGGCCTGCAGAACTTCATATGCAATAAGTATGCAAAATCCCATTTGCCTGCAGCTTCATCAGAAATGCCATCCCTTGTCCCATGTAAACGTCTGGAATTTGCCAGCTGGGCAGTTACCTCTTCTCCAAAACATGTCATGCTGGTAGTGTCATAATGTTGCTTGACTTCTGAAGCAAGAGCCCGAGGCCATGGGGTGATGCAATAGTGGCTGAGGTTTCCCAGAATTCAAGGCATCACTTCCTCATTCTTTTCCATAAACCCATTGCAAACATCTATGTACAAGTTTTGGAGAAGCGAGTGCATTCCACCCTCCCCATTTGTACGTGACTTGTTTCCTCTTTCTTTTCTTTCTTTTGCAGCATAAGCTTAAGAAAAATGCATGATAATTTTAATCTTTTCTAAAGAGGGGAATCATCCTTTAGGTAAAAACTGGAGATCTAAAACTTGTTGACGAAACAGAAACTGAGAAATGGCTCAAAAATGTTGATTTTTAAAGGACAGTTTTTGAAATGATTCAACATGGGCCCTCTTAAACCCCCCAATAGTATTTGGGTTTTGCTGGAAACTCACCCCATAAGCTAAAGCTAGAAGCAAAATAACCTTTTGAGAGTTACATAAAGTTGACTCTGGGCTTTGTGTGTGTGTTTCTGTATCTGCCTTCAAGTCATCTCTTGACTTGCAACCCTATAATTTTCAAAGGGTTTTCTTTGGCAGGGAATGCCAGTTTCTTCCTCTTAAATTTAGCATACAACACCTGATATTCATTGATGGTCTCCCATCCAAGTACTAGCCAGAGCTGATACTGCTTCGTTTCCAAGATCAAATGGGATTTGGACTTCACAGGCTTTTTTAAATATGTGGTTTGGCTCTGCGCATGCTACAATTTACTACCATGACACTTGGATTTCAAAACAAACTTGCTTGAAAGGCTGGGCACTCCAGGGCTTGTTTAAATTTTTTATGGTGGAAGTAGCTGGCCTTGTCGCTTTTTAGCATGAATATTCTACAGGTCTTAGGTGCTCAGAGCAGGCGCCTTCATCTTGGCAAGAGCATCCAAAAGTCTCGTCCTCCAAGGTGCACTTTCAAAGCAAAGAGAGTACAAAAAGGAAGACTGAAGCCCAGTACTTGGACACATTGAGAATGGAGACCAAATGATAGCATTCTGTGCCCTTTCCTCAGTGGAAATGAAACTTCTTTTAAACCTTTTTTAATAGTTTCAAAGAAAAGAAGTGCCATTTTAAAGCCATACAATGTAATTCAGAATCTCTAGCTATCTAGACTTTTCTGAATTTCTGCCTTTCCCCTTTTAGATGCTAAGTTGAAGGCCAATATGGCCACTGAAGGTCATCTTAGGACTTCATCACACTAGATAATAAATGCAGTTTCTGTGTTCTGCAGAATTCTGGGGTTTGTAATTTAGTGAAGCTGTTAAAAGCTCCTCCCTAAACTACAGACCCCAAAATTGTGCAGGAGGCAGAAAGTGGTTTTTTTCTCTAGTGTGATGAGGCATGGTCCCTTTTTTTCCATTTCTTCCCCCCTTGATACCATGAATTTTGAACCAGGTTTATTTGAAAAAAGCTTAACTCATTTATCATCAACTTTTGCACTACTTTTTAGAAAACACCACAATTACTAAAAACATATGAGTCTTAAAGGTGCAATGCAACTTACTCTGTCATCTTTTTACAGCAGTTTTTTTTTTACTGCTGTGTAAAGATAATAATCCTATTCCTCAGTTTAGTGGCTTATTGTGTCACATTTATTAGAGCTTTGAAAAGAGAGAAGAATGGAACCTGTGGAGAGTAAACATTTGGATGAAACTTTTTTTTCCATTTAGTGGTTGAGAGTAAGGCTAGCAGGTTGGTTTCTACTTGAGTAATACAATACTTGCACTGTTGAATGGGGCTAAATTGCATCGAAACCAAGTATTTTCCCTTTGCAGTTTGAACTGCTCTTATCCATTACTTGCTGCTGTTACAGTACATGAGTGTATTATTGCTGTTGGGTTACATAAAGCTAGTGGATTTATGAATATTTAGTGCATTTCCCTTCCCGCCCACACATCCCAATACTATTAATTGGAACCTCACAAGAGAGAGAGAAAACTCATTTTCCTAAAGCTTCCATAACTGGATCACCTGAAGTCAGGTTTTACTTACCCCAGATAACCAAGCATGCACAGTGTAGAATTAATGCAGTTTCACACCACTTCAACTACCATGACTCAATGCTATGGAGTAATGGAAGTTGTAGTTCAGCTATGTCTTTAGCCTTCTCTACCAAAGAGTTATAGTGCCTCATCAAACCATAAAGCCCATTATTCCATAGCACAGACATGGCAGGTAAAGTGGTGTCAGATTGCATTAATTCAGTGTAGGTCCACCCCAAGTAAGTAATGAATTTGCCAGCCTGTATCCTATTCACTTACTGTATTCCTAGCAGGCAGAATGCTCCAGAAGGCTTATGTTACTGGCATCTTCCAGTCAGGGCTTAGTATTTTGCTGCTGCAGCAAAGCTGTCAGCTAAGAAACATCTAAATTCTCCATCAGTGTTCTCGGAAGTACTTAGTGTGCTGCTATGAATGAAAGCGGGGGGCCTTGTTTCCTATGAAAGAAACCCAAATGAATCAATAGCCTTCTTTACTTGGAGATAGAAACAGTTGATTAATAACCTCTGGTCTGTTTTGTTTTGCAGGAGAAAAGCCTTACAGATGCTCATGGGAAGGCTGTGAGTGGCGTTTTGCGAGAAGTGACGAGTTAACCAGACACTTCAGGAAGCACACGGGTGCCAAGCCTTTTAAATGTAATCACTGTGACAGGTAAGTGAAGGGAAAATCCTGCGTTATAATCCCTTATACGTCATCCTTCCTGATACCTCCATGGAAATCCACAAATTGAGAAATACATAACCGGGCAAATCGTTCAGATGCATATTAGGTGTGGAACAAGTTTTTTTTTTAAAACACGAGCCATCCACTTTAATTGATCAGCATCTTCTCCATAGCTTTAGTAGCACATAAATAAACAAATGGTTGGATTTGAATAATTTCTGCCTCTAATTGGGGAAAGCCAGTTCTTTCAATTTCTCACTTGCATATCTAGAATACTCTGGTTTTAAACTGGTGGAAATAGTCCCAGAGGTAATTAACTGAAGTTTGCTGTTAATACGGTGAGATGGTTTTCACGTGTATTTTGGTTGATTTAGCAATGCAGGTTCATAACTCCAAGATTGGGATGATAGCAGAACAAGTTGACAGGAGAAATTGACAGAATCCCAGTCTTCAAGAGAAATAAATCAACTATTAACATATCTATATAAATAAAAATGTAATGTTCATTTGTGGGATTAACATAACTCAAAAACCACTGGACTCATTGACACCAAACTTGGACACAGTACACCTATCAGGCCAATGAGTGACCATTACTCATCAAAACACTGAAAAACACAGCAGAAGAGACTCAAGAAGCAAAAAAATAATAATAATAAACAAACAAACCAAAAAAAATACAACATATGCACAAAACCATATAAACCATATATACAGAAATATATACACACCATATATAAACACAAAACACATATACATAGACTGGGCCACAGCAATGCATGGTAGAGGACAGCTAGATAGATAGATAGATAGATAGATAGATAGATAGATATGGAGAGAATGTTGCATTGAAAGGAAGGCTTTAGAAGTGTTTTCTAACTCTAATATTTTATCTTCTTACTCCCACCCACCCACTTTCAGTCAAAATTTCAAGACTGCTTTTCTTGTCAAAGTTCAATACTACCCCCGTTTCTACAGAACTGTATCTATGGTTTTGTTTATCCCCGTCCAACAAAATATGCCTTCTCTAGATGTTTTCCAGGTCCTCTTTAGCACAACTGTGATGTTCTTGGACCAGAAATCCTTAATGTCAGTAGTTTTTGCAAATCCATGTGAAGTCCAGGAAACCTTTCAGATACTATAGTTACTCTTCTACTTTGTCACCTTTGGTCCCTCCTCTTGTTCATTTAGGCCTCTTCCACACAGCTGTGTAAAATCAGCATTGAACTGGATTATATGGCAGTGTGGACTCAGTTCAAAGCAGATATTGTGGATTATCTACCTTGACATTCTGCGTTATATAGCTGTGTGGAAGGGTCCTGAGTTGAAAACTAGATGAATTCTCAACAGCTTTCCATAATAGTAAGGCACTAGTAGCACCCCAAGGCAAACAATTACCATAGTAGCTATTGTTTTCCATCAGCAGGTTAAAATTCCAGTTCTGATATGATTCTACTTAGATGGCCTTTGGGATGCAACATACTTTCAGCCCGATCTCCCTCCTGGGGCTGCTCTGATGTTAGCATGCCATTCTGAGTTCCTGAGAGTTAAGATCCAGATGTAAACGTAGATGGTGAACAACTCGATTACAACCATTGTGCCAGCGCTCAGCTCATGTCCAAACACGTGACAGTGATGCAACAGTTTGCACTCTAGCCACAAGGCGTTGCGACCACTCCACAGCTTTTTTCACTGCTTGTCTGCCTGATAATAATAATTTCCTGTGTTCAAAGATCAGCTAACAGAGATTGCAGAGAGGGCCCTTCCACACAGTCCTATATCCCAGAATATCAAGGCAGAAAATCCCATAATATCTACTTTGAACTGGGTTATCTGAGTCTACACTCAGATAATGTGGGGTTTTCTACCTTGATATTCTGGGATATAGGCTGTGTGGAAGGCAGATTCCAGGTACAAACTGAATATCAATTATCCAAAATGCTCCAAAATTGTCAACATGGGTGGCCCAGATAGTGACACTTCTGTTTTCCATTGGCTCAGTGAACACAAACTTCATTTAGTGCTCAAAATGCTTAAACCATTGTCCATAAAATTGCCTTCATGGTGTGTGTTTCAGGTGTATATGAAACATGAATGAATTCTATGCTTAGAATGTAGTCCCATCTCCAAGGTACCCTGTATATACAAATATGCCAAAATCCAAAACCCTTCTGGTCCCAAGCATTTCAGATAAGGGATGCTCAATCTATATCACCTTTGCTTGCAAACTGAACATCCTGCAGAGTTACAACAGAGTTGTGTGTGAGAAGGCAATTGATAGCTACCTGAAGCTAAGCATATGTATGTCTTCCTTCCAGATGTTCTAAATCAAATCCCATGTTTCTGCCTTGCAGACTGCACACCAGCATCAAAGTACAATTCTGAGTTGCAGTGCCATCTGCTATTTCCAATGCCAATGTGAAGTTTTAATTTGATGTTCTCCCAGATAACAGTTCCAAAACTAACCGAGCATCCTCCTCTGATCCTTAGGTGCTTCTCTAGGTCTGATCACCTGGCCCTTCACATGAAGAGGCATCTCTGAATGGGTGAAGAAGGCAAATCCTGCGGGCTAAGAGGCTTCGAGGTTCACCGGCCTTGAAAGAAGGGATGCGTGTTCCAGCCAAAGCATGCCACTTTGCACCCTAACCCAGTTGCCTCCAGGGCCTCTCTTCCTTGGAAGGTCTTCAGAGGGCTGAACAAGTCATGTGAGAAAGGGCAACGCGACCGCACGGTGTGGGTCCCCTACGCCAGGACCCAACCTTCTTGAGTGGCTTCTACGCCTTCTGCCGTGAGCACGTGCACTGAGAATGTTAATGATTGGACGACTGTATGTTATTGAGGATCTACTGGGCGACTGTATGCTGAGGCACATTGTTTGTTTTTTTTTTTCTCCTCTTGTTGTTTGATTGGGTTTTTCATTTAAATCCTTGTGGTTGTTTTTGATAACCGAGAAAGAGAGGATGTCAGCTGAGTTGGCGGGAGGTGGGGAAATATGTATGTGAAGAGTATTTACCACAAGACGGAGTGATCACCAATCATTCCCAAGGGGCAGGGGGAGAGGGGTGTAGCACCTTTTTTAAAAAAAAGAGATAAAGAAAGTAGGGGGTGGGGACGCTAGGGTGGGGAAGTCGAGTCAGAATGCCAGAATGGAGGGAGGGGACCCCTTTATCCTGTGTGAGAGGAGCTTTTGGTGTCTGGTCCAGCTATTAAATGTGCAATGTGTCAAGTAGCTTGTTTTACTTGCTACAGAGCTCATTTGTAATCCATTGTATAAGCTGTGTATTTACAATATAACACAACCTATAACGTTTTCATTATAATACAGAGGTTTATTGCATGGTTCTGGGGAACTCTATGCTTTTCCATTCTTTAATCAGGACTGCCCACGTTTTTGTTCCGTTCCCCATCCCTCCACCCCACCTCAATTCCAGTTCAAAGCTGCTACAATGCAATTGGTTCAATGTTACATACAACCAGATCCAGATTTTATTTTTGGTCCTGTTGGGTGGATACAACCACTGTAGGTTAGAAATTGATTTTTTTATTATAAAAAAAAAAGAAAGAAAAGAAAAGAAAGAAAATTCTCATGCAGCTATTATTTTCCTTCTCTTTTATTTATGCCTTGAGGTCTAATTTCTGGTTTTTTAGCTGTCAATGCACTGTTGACCTTAATAATGGTGCCTTATGCAACGTGATCTCTTGTCGGAGGTCTTATACAGGGGTATGGGTGATGTATGCTTCATTAAGGCTCTCTTGTCACCTGACACTTGTACTGTATCAAATATGTTTTAGGAAGAGGTGGGAAGAACCTAGACTGATGTTCAAGGTGTGCTCGTAACAAAACATTCTTAGACATGCCAGTACAATATCTCACTATATAGAATATATCTATTTTCAACTTTGAAAATTCCATGGAATCATCCAACCAGGTCTGCCCATTCGAGTATGCCTCCTTTGGGTTTCTTTCTATTTCACAGATGACCTTGCACAAACCACCATCTTCCTTCACCCTGAAAATATAACCCTGTACTTCAAAAGGTCATAATTATTTCATGCATATTTAAAAGTGCAGGAGTATGAGACACATTCAGAAATAATTGCTTAAAAGGCACAAGTTCCACATCTATATCTCTAGCTTTCTCTTGGCTAAAACAGAAAGGAAATACATTTTTTTAAAAAAATGAAAAAAAGCAACGAGAACAAAAAGATACCAAGTGGGTAGAAAGTTTGCAGTGTATGTATATTTGTGTGTATATATCAGTAAATGTGTGTGTGTGCACGAGTGTGTGTGTGTTTGCGGGTGTGTGTATCTATAAATATATAAATATATAGATAGATAATAATATATTATTATTATTATTAAGGGTTGAGTTGAACTCTCAGCTAGAAAGTATCTGAGGTTTTAAGGAGCTCCCTGTTTCCATAGATTTTATATAAACAAAAGCCAGTTATCAACACTTAAAATTTCATCCATTAGGTCTTGTAGATTTCTGAAAGGGTTGTGCAGAGATCATTTTTTTCTTTGTGAAGCTTTGGCAAGACAAAGCTGTTGCATTTCACTTCAAGATCAGGGAAGGCTCAAAAAAAATCTTATGCTCAAGCTAAATGGGGCAGCTTGGGTACTCCTTGTTTGGTGCAATGTGGGTAAATTCAGTTGTAGGATTGCATAAGATATTTGCAATAAACATTAGAAACTACTGGGATTTTTTTTCAATTAGGATTTCTGACATTGGAGCAATAGTGGTTAACCTTTAATCTTCCTGGTGTTTTAGATTTCAGCTTCCAGAAGTCCTGATCATTGGTCAAACTAGTCAGGATTTTTGAGAGTTGGAGTCCCAAACACCTGGAGGAGCAAAGGTTGGACACCATTGCTTTAGAGCCAGTGATTCTCAACCTGTGGGTCCCCAGGTGTTTTGGCCTACAACTCCCAGAAATCCCAGCCAGTTTACCAGCTGTTAGGACTTTTGGGAGTTGAAGGCCAAAACATCTGGGGACCCACAGGTTGAGAACCACTGCTTAGAGCAGTAGTTCCCAACCTTTGGTCCTCCAGGTGTTTTGGACTTCGGATCTCACAATTCCTAACAGCTGGTAAGTTGGCTGAGATTTCTGGGAGTTTAAGTCCAAAACAACTGTGGAGGGATAAAGCTTGGGAACCACTGCATTAGAGCATTGGGAATGGTATTTTGCCTTTAGATGGTGGCATGAGTAGGGTTGCCATAGTGAAACCTAAAGATAACTCCTGTGTCTTTAATGACTGTGTAGAAGAGGAAATTCCAACATGTGCTTCTAGTTTCTTGTTGTATGACAAGAAACACCTGAATTCTACCCAGCCATTAATGGGACATGACATGTCTGCAATTTTCACCCTGGCTACTATAATTCCCTTCATTCTTGGCTTGCTCCAGTGCCATTTATTTCCCTATCCTGGGAGCTCCTCTTGGTGTTCATTATGGATACCGGGCTGGAATCATACTTAGTGAGCCACACTGGCCTGAATCCAGTTGTTTATCCCAACTAGAGTACACCTCCATTGAATGAGTGGAATTGACAATTTAGCAAATTCTTATAGATTCAGGAGTCTTCCTCTAGTTGGGCACAATTACACTTAGATTTAGGCCTAGATCAGCCTGCAACTTCCAGAAATCCCAGCCAATTTACCTGCTATTAGGATTTCTGGGAGTTGAAGGCCAAAACATCTGGGGACCCACAAGTTGAGAACCACTGGCCTAGATGTTTTCAGATCATCTGGAGAAGGGCCATTGCTATGTTATAGGCAGTTCAGCAAATAAATAAATATCCATCTCCAATGCTTTTATGAATCTAGGAATGAGCGTAGCGATTATGCTTTTATACCTCTGGCGCTGACCTTTTAGTTTGACAGTGCAAAGTGGTTTTCTGCAAGGTTAGAAAGAGTCCTTCCTCATAAATAAAAGCCAGCATGTTTTCAAAACTGCCTTCCCTGACAACAACAGCACACTTAGAAACTACATCAGTAGCACATTGTGCATCTATGTTGCGCAGCTTTTCCTGGAAATGACAGCAAGGATTACTAGATCTCGAAAACCATGCTAGATGGACACCTGCTGTTTGTCTAATTCTAAGTGATGCACATCCCTACACTGTTCGTAAGGTATTTTGAGTTTTTGATATGCTTTGAATGTGCACTTTGTTGAGATAAAAATACTCCAGGAGTATGTTTTACTGTCTTTATAGAGCTCTAATGTAAATATGGAGCTTCATTCATGCAGGGGCTCCTCGTAGTTGGGGACATGAATTCACTAATTTATTTCGATGTAAGGGGGAAAAAACACACCATTATACACCTTAGGGATTTTCTACTTTATAGTACAAATCCGAAATCCACTTGATCAGAATCTTCCATGTATGGATCAAGGCAATTCTGGAGGGGTTGGGTTAAGCGTGGGTGGGATTTTCCTTTGAGTATTTTTAAAACTCATAATACTTTCTGCTTAGCCACAATACCAGTAAAAATTGATTATATTAAATTTTAAAAAGTCCCTTGCATTGGCTTTTTTTTCTTAGTTGTGAAATATCAATAGTTCTCAACAGGGCTGTTTGCCAAATGTCCAACATGAATAAATGGCTGTCTGTTTTTTCTGGTTATAAACAAGTACATTTTGTTCAGGTGATAACTGAGCCTCAATCAAGCTAAAAGGAAAAAAATTGCTTGAAATTTCAGAAGAAAATTTCTATTCGTAACGATTTCGTTTTTTCTTCTTTGTTCGTTTGTTTTTTGGAAGCACCCTGTTATCTAAAGAATCTCTTTGTAAGATTTTTGTAAAAAAATTGTTTTACAAGATTTTATTTGAAATTGTTTTTTGCAAGATTGTTATATTTCTGTATGAATGTATTTTTTATTGGAATAACATAAAAAAAGTTCTTATCAGCATCTTCAGTCTGCGTCTTCGTTTTTCCTTTAGAGTAATCAAACTGTTTCAAAATTTCTGATGTCTGGATTTGGAAACCAGAATCCTTTGTTAAGCTGTCTGAACTCCAGACTTTGTTATGAATGTTCTTTGGGTTAAAGCAAGATGCTCTTAATATTTTCCAAACTTTTAAAGAGTTGCTGTTATAATTCCAAACCCCTACACCAGTGTTTCTCAACCTGGTGGTCGGGACCCCTGAGGGGGTCGCGAGGAGGTGTCAGAGGGGTCGCCAAAGACCATAAGAAAACACAGTATTTTCTGATGGTCATGGGGATTCCATGTGGGAAGTTTGAGCCAATTCTTTCGTTGGTTGAGTTCAGAATATTCTTTGATTGTAATGAACTATAAATCCCAGCAACTACAACTCCCAAATGTCAAGATCTATTTTCCCCAGACTCCACCAGTGTTCACATTTGGGCATATTGAGTATTCATGCCAAGTTTGGTCCAGATCCACCATGGCATGAGTCCACAGTGCTCTCTGGATATAGGTGAACTACAACTCCCAAACTCAAGGTTAATGCCCATCAAACCCTTCCAGTGTTTTCCATTGGTCATGGGAGCCAAGTTTGGTTCAAATCAATCGCTGGTGGAGTTTAGAATGCTCTTTGATTATAAGTGAACTAAATCCCAGCAACTACAACTCCCAAATTACAAAATCAATCCTCCCCCAACCCCACTAGCATTCACATTTGGGTGCATTGGGTATTTGTGCCCAGTGAATGAAAATGCACCCTGCATATCAGATATTTACATTATGATATATAACAGTAGTAAAATGACTGTCATGAAGTAGCAACGAAAACAATATTATGGTTGGGGGTCAACCCAAGATGAGGGACTGTATTAAGGGGTCACGGCATTAGGAAGGTTGAGAACCACTGCCCTACACAGATGAGAAATATTTAAAAAACCAATTACAATTTAAAAATGTAACTATTTTTCCAAGGCCCCTAGTGGCGCAGCAGGTTAAACTGCTGAGCTGCTGAACTTGCTGACCCAAGGGTCAGCAGTTTGAATCTGGGGAGCGGGGTGAGCTCCCATTTTTAGCCCCAGCTTCTTCAACCAAACAGTTCAAAAACATGTAAATGTGAGTAGATCAATAGGTACCACTTCGGCAGGAAGGTAATGGTGCTCCATGCAGTCATGCTGGCCACGTGACCTTGGAGGTATCTTCGGACAACGCCGGCCCTTCGGCTTAGAAATGGAGAAGAGCCCCCCCCCCCCTTCCAATTAGACTTACTGTCAAGGGGAAACGTTTACTTTTAACTATTTTTTTCCAATATCCAAATTCAACTATAATCATTGCTTTCAGGTACTCTTTCAAAAAAATCGGAATGCTCTATAGCCACTGGCTTGTGATACAAAACACACTGCACTCTTAATAAAGTATTAAACATGGCATAACACAGCACTTAAATCATGTAATATTCCTCCTACCACCATATTTAATGGATATATCCAATGAAAAGTTTACTCCCCCCCAAAACAAAACAAAATTGGCTCATAAAAGTAACATACCACTTCTAGTGTACGAAAACATGCCAGTGTAGCTCTCCTAGGCAAACATGGAGGTCATATGCCCCTTAAGCAATGACCCAACACTGAATTAGCACAAAACATGGAGAACTATATGGAACATGGGTTCACCAGCGTGATTCATGAAAAGATGAGTGAGATAGGTGACATACTTATGGCATAAACCTACTTTTAGCTTCTTAAAATTCCAAGTTTTCTCCGTATCACACATAAAATTTAAGAACATTAGCCAACTCTATCATAAGAGTTGGATCAGAACAAGGTCCATCCAGTCCAACCCCATTCTGTCATGCAAGAATAAACAGTCAAATCACTCCGGACATAGCCATCCAGGCTCTGCTTACAAACCTTGAGAGAAGGAGACCATCACACTCTGAGGAGGCAACATATTCCACTGTTGAACAGCTTTTACCTCAAAGACAGTTTTCCTAATGTTTAGGTGGAATCTCCTTTCCTGTAGTCAACCCATTGCTCCATGTACTAGGGTTTATCAACATTGGGCATATAGCATTGGAGTCTACTGCAGTCTACATGTCTTCCAATCTTTTTTGAGGGTCAAAGTGGCTTAGCCTCATACTAAAGAAGGTTAAGGAACACCAGACTTTGTGTGAAATCTGTATTTGGGGCAGAGAGAGATGACACAACTGAATCCAATGAGGACTAGTCTGCTGTCCACATGGGGTACCATATCCATTCCCTTTTCTCTGTGCTCAAAAGAGACAAACAAGAAGGATGGGTTGGGCTTCTGTTGCCACCGCTACTGCGATCCAGGAGAGCTCTTGGCCATTGCAGGTGCCTATGCTGACATCTGGAGAAGGAGAAAGGATCAAGTCAAGTCACCAAATTCTGCCCAGATAGCTTTCCTTTTCTTGTCCCTGTTATCAGCCTCCTCTCACAACCGAATGCCCTCTTTTTTAAATTAGTTTATTTTTCAGGTTGACAAGCATTCTTGCAAAATAAAACAGGCATCCTGTGAGTGAGTTACAAAGGGGTAATTCCAACTTATGCCATTGTCTCCCATTTTGACTGCAACAACCGAAATCCAACTTCCTAAATTCCCTTTTCAGTGTGGCAATCCTTCTCCTTGTAGGGTTCAGTCTGATAAAGGCAATAATCTATGTACAGTCTACCAGCTACAGATAAAGTGGTATCAAACTGCATTAATTATACATTGTAGATGTGCCCTCTGTTCCAAAATACACCATGATTGGCCAAGGATCCACAACTTGCCCCTCAACTCCAACTTCCTCCTTGCTTTGATGGTTTTTTACAGACCCTATTTGAAAGCTGGAGTTAATTTTGCAATTCTTCAACTCCATCATCACACAGGTCTGCAGAACTGAAGGTCACAAACTATTTTTTAAAAATGTATGATGGATTTATAGGAATTTGGCATTCTGAATGCAAAGATGACTTCTGTTTGGTTCCATCACATACAGATTGTTCACAACTTGTTTTGATATTTTCGGGTTGTAGTATGTAGTATGTAGAATTAAATGACTAATGAAATTGCCAGTGGAATTTGTGTAAGAACTGTGTGTGGTACCCAAAAATACATTAAAACAGCTACAATATTTGGGGCGAGGAATCATTGCTTTTTGTTGTTTCTTCCTGACAATCTGATTTATTGGCAGCCCTACTCACCTTTCCCAAACTTATGGTCTTGGCTCCATTTATTGATGTGTGATCTCCTTCTTTCCTTATGACTCTCAGTTTTACTGAGCACTTCCTTTCTTATGATATGTCCACAAGTAATAGCCTCAGTAAAGTCATTTGGTCTTCTAGTGAGAATTCAGGTTGCTATCCTATGCCATTGCTATCCTATGCCAAGAGCAAGGAAAGTGTGATCCTGCAGACATTACTGTACTCTTATTCCTATCCTTTTCCCGAAATATGGGAACCCCCACCCTGTTTTAAGGACTGAACCCCAAAGAATGATCACATCCACAATTATTGACAAGGCATGGCCAAAAAGCTAAACTTTGAGAGATTTATTCGAAAACAAAGATTGCCCCAAATCAGTGGTGAGATTTGGAATGTACTATTCTCATTTCCAAAACACAGGAAAGGAGGTGGAAAGACCTTTTCCTGTATTGATTTACAACTTGCAGACTGGTCCCTTCGGAATGATTTCAAAATAGATGATACTTATTTGTTTGTTGACTAAATGTGGCATTCTGCATGGCAGCTCATCACCAGACATATAAAAGTTATATTTTAATAAGGCCATGTATGCACCTTTGAATATTCCTTGCCTAAGAAAAATGATGAAATCCAGGGGAACTCTATAACTTGACAGGTGGCTTGAAAATACTTGCATGCATACATTCATGTTGAATCAACTCATCTTCATGCATTCTTCTTTATTCTTGTAAGATGCTTTGTTTTGGTATGTTCATATGTTAGGCATTGGTGGTGTTCTCCAGCATCACTGGGGTGGTAAATCTGCTTCTCAATTTTATCTGGACTGTAAAGTGCTATCCATACTGTTCAACATTTTTTGGAGATAACACCCAGCATCCTAGATAGTTCAGTTTACATCTACGCTAGAAGCCAAAGTGGATTTACTGCTCCACTGATGCAGAGGCCACCAGATGCCACCCCTCCTATGTATATGAAATCATAAGGAGACAGTTATCTGATCATATTTGCAAACATTCCGTCATGGGGAAGAATTAAAGATTTAGGATGCTTTACAACAAGGTTTTTTACCTTGCAATTGAGCTGCTTCAAACACAGAATAATATATACGGCCATTGAGGGTCCTTTAAGACTATGCAATTATATGATTCCACTTTTACAGCCATGGTTTCATTCTATTGAATCCTGGGATCTGTAGTTTTGGCAAAGCTATTTACAATGCTCAGACAGTGAGTTCTAGTGCCTCACTAAACTTGCAGCGTTTGGATTCCATAGGATGCAGGCATGGCAGTGAAAATGGAGATATACATTATGATGCTGTAACCATGTAATGCAGTGGTTCTCAATCGTGGTCCCCAGATGTTTTTGGCCTTGAACTCCCAGAAATCCTAACAGCTGGTAAACTGGCTGGGATTTCTGGGAGTTGTAGGCCAAAACACCTGGGGACCCACAGGTTGAGAACCACTGATGTAATGTGAAAGAACACAATGCACCTATTATTTGTAATGCTTCTAATTTTCTTTGCCATTAAGGAAAAAAAAGATGGAATGCTCTCTAGTCTTCTGACTGGGGTTTAATGAGTTCTTCATTTGGGGATACCCTGAGATGCTGGATTTCAGGAACCTGTCCTTTCAAATCCATTTCAGAGTGGGCCATAATGTCTCCAATTTCCTAAGTTTTTTTTCCTGTTTCTCCCACTTTCCTCCTTTATCCTCTGCTTTTTTCAGTTGCTGCAAAATGAGTTCAAAGTGTAAAAGAAGTTTGCATTCAATTCACCCACCACT